GTTAGAAAACGGGAGACAGTAAGAACTAGCGCTGCCTTAAGCATAAAACCTGGCTGGGTGATTTTGGGCCTGTCACTCTCTTTCAGCCCAAACCACCTCACTGGGTTGTTGTGAGGAAAACAGGAGGAAGAAGGAGCATTAGATATGTTTGCTGCCTTGTGTTTTATTTATAAAAAATAATAAAGGCAGACTAAAAATAAAAATTATCCTTTCAATTTATTTTTTATTTTTATTCTGCCTTTATTATTTTTATTTTATTTTAATATTTATTTGCCATGTTTCATAGTACCATGATCTTACATTTGTTGCAAGTCTATACAACTGTATGGATTAAATAACGACTGATGCCAAGACTTCTCCCCAATGGTGTCTACCTGTCTTATGAGATCTGGCAGGAGAGGTTTGTTCAGGGCCTATCCGTAAGTGCCATCTCTGACAGGGCTCAGGAAGAGAAGCCTTTCTGCTGTGGTACCTTCTGTTCTTCAGGAACATTATTCTCCTAGAAACTAGATTTGTCTCAACCCTGCTGGCTTTTCACAATGCATCAAAAACCTGGCTTTGCCATCAAACCTTGAACACTGATAGTATGGGTGAACCTGTTTCTTGACCTTGGCTGTTTAAACTGAGCATTCTTGGGTGCTAAGTATGTTATGTTTTCTCTGTTGTTTCAAATTTAGTTTTCTTTTTATTATGTTTTTATTCTTTTAAACTGTTGGCCAGAGACCTGCATCTGGTGTGGATAGCCATATAAATTTATTACATGACCACATCACATCACTCACACATACTTACATTGTTACACAGTTCATACAAATATCTTCCTTTCGCCAATATGATTTAGTAAGTCATATTACCTGTGGCGGAGTATATGGCATTATGTCCAATTCATTGGAGTGTGGAGTCTGCAGTTGAGGTATTGTTGGTGCTTCTGCAACTTCACCTTCCTCTTCCCCAATCTCTTCAATATCCTCTTCTCCACCTTCTAACTCAGCAAACTTTGCTTCTAGCTGCTGAATTTTTTTCTCTAAAAGTGGAGATGGCTCCTTTTGTGGAATAATGGGTTTTCTAGGAAAAAAAGGATAGATTTACTGAACACAGTCTTTCTCTTCATTACAACACCGAAAGAAGCAATAGAGAGTAAATTGAACAAATGCTAAGTGCCAGGTCAGGGAAACATAGCTACGTCCAGTTTACATCAGTATCTTCCACTAACCCCTCCACATCTTTCTGTCCTTAAAGACCATCTTTGCTTCAACTGCATCCAAATGCTACTTCACACACTGCCTTTGCTCTTTGTGATTGCTCATTGTTTAATTCACTCATAGTCATTTTTAACCCCATCTCTTCTTGCTTAATACCCAAACTTTTAAAGTACACCATTCTGCATTCAATTTACTTTTACATTTCTCCTGACATACCCAATTTCCAAATAAACCAGTGGGCAAATGCATGCTGTTTCACACAACCATTTTAATGTGGTTTTTTTCAACAACCATTAATTCCTTGCATTAGGTTACATATCACTCCTGGTTTTCCAACATTATTTCCACATCTTTAATAAACTATTTTCTAAATAAAATCCCTTGTATTTGCTTTGAATTGGGAACAGCATAGAAGGCTTTTGAGCCTATCTATCTCAGAGAAGTAGGCAGATCCTTTGTGTCCTTTATATGAAGTAGGCCAAGTTAGAGTACAATACTGCTGACTGACTGCTGCCTGCAATTTGGAAGTCCAAATCTCATCAGGCTCAAGGTTGACTCGCTTCCATCCTTTTTAGGTGGGTAAAATGAGGACCCAAATTGTTGGGGGCAATAGATTGACTCTGTAAACCACTTAGAGAGGGCTGTAAAGCACTATGAAGCGGTATATAAAAGTGCTATTGCTAGACTTCTATAATTCTTAGTTGGATAAACGACCAGAGAGGAGACATGATCCAGGGAACAGTCCATTCACTTGAAGAAAGGTAAAGTTCAAAGTTTTGAAAGTGATAATGGTCTACTCCATTTTAAGGGGCCTGACTTGGATCCAAGACAAAAGGAAACCTATTCTCCTATGTACAACTTCCCCTTATGCTATATACCAATCAGAATTCAGTCCTGGGTACGGAACCAATACTGCCCTGATTGCTCTCATCAATGCCTTATGGGTGGGAATCGATGGGAAGGAAAGAAATCCTTATTGATTTGCTGGACCTCAAAATCACCTTCAATATTGTCAGCCACAGTATTTCTATAGTCTCTGCAGCATGGAAAAAGGTATTCTTGTCCATTGTAAAATAGATTGTTAGATTATTTGTATTTAAAAATTAAAATACATTTTACCTGAAATAATAAATTTCATCATCTACTACCTTAGCAGACAAAGAAAATCTTTTTAGTCCCTTGAATTTTTTCATCTGTTTGTCACTTTCATTATAGCGACTTTCACAGAGCAGAACATCATTTTCATGGATTTCAGTTGGTCTACAGGAAAGAAAGTCTTTGAAAGACAGCACAGCACACTTTCCTGAAAGAGAGGATAATAAATAGTTGTATTTTATTAAGATGTATATCATATTTGTAATATGTCTGAAAATTTTGAAATATCAAAGTGTATGGGCCAATCAGGGTGATTAGTTGAACCCAGAAGCCAATACAGCAACTAATGTCATATGTGCTGCATAGTACTATTGGTTCCTAATATGACATGTAGCTCCTGATAAGGGCATTGATTCAACAGATACGAAATGAGCATCCTTAATGCAGACACAAAACTGTCCAATATTCCAAAAAGTTGCTTCTCTAGAAAAGAGCTAAATGAATTACAGAGCCCATTTCTTCTTTCTTGTTAATAAACGAAAACTTATTTTTTAAGTAATGTCATTATTACATAACTTTATTTTGCAGCAATTTTATTAATGTAAGGAAGTGACCATTTTTTAAACTGTAAAATTTGAAACATAATAATAAAATGTATTTTATTGCTTAATTACCCAGAATGCACGTCATCGGGCAAGTCTCTTCCAAATTACTCAAAAATACTTCCTTCTTATAAAACATTTTAGTTGGCTCATGTTCTGTTTCTTCTGGGTGAATAAAAATTGGACCAAAAAAATAGGCAGCTCCATCTCTAACCCACATTTTTTCTATTCTGAAAAGATAGAAAAAAAACTGCTTCAAAGTATTTCAAATTCAATTTTAACATTTCCTTTCACTTAATGTATTGATCGACTATACAATTAAATCATTGTTGATTCTTATCAACCACATAGGTATATCTTCTTCAGATATTAATGCATTATATGACAGTTGTATTCCTTTTTGCTGTGGTACCTTCTGCAACTNAATAATGTACTTTTCATCCCTGTAAAGTAAACCCATAGTTTATTAACAATTAAATGTTGACATTAAGTTTTCTGTGTCAAAACTAGCTTCTGAATCAAAGCGGGGAGCCTATAAATCAATCTAGAACCAGATGCCCTATTTTCAAAGCCTCAAAATTAAGATTCAGATCAACTGTTGCTGTATATGACCATCTCTACTCAAAACACAAATCCAATTAAAATTATTTTCCATTATTTATTAAAAAGTATTTATTGTTATATAAATTCTATACCATTTCATTTTCCATAAGTCAATTAAGAAGGTAAATTGTAATCATGTTTCTTTCTCATTTTAATGTAGTTTCAGACTGGATTATTTTCTTTGTCCATTTGCAGAAACGGTACAAATTGCTTGACTTTATTTTAGCTATTATCTGCTCCACCCACACCCAAAATGACTAATACAATTTAGTCACAGAACAAAGTTTTAGGATCAAACTTTACACATTTAGAGCCAGCATACTGAAATCAGTTCACTATTACTTGATTTTAATCTACAACTAAACCAGAATCCAACACATGGATTCTAATAAAAATAAAACACAGGATTAGTGAAAACAAATAGTTAACTTCCATGAATCTTATATAATAACAATACCAACAATAATATAATAACTCATTATGAAAGAATGATCCCAAATCACAGACGAAATATGTTTTGAAAGACAGATGGAAGAATTAACCAATAGAAAAATTAAAGATCCAATACAACGTTTATCTAAAATTCAGTTTGTTCTGAAATAATTATTTTTTTCATTCTGCAACATTTATAAATTCATTTTTTTCCAATAGTAGAATAAAAACTTTAAATATTATAGGATTAAGAAAATGTGGTTTTTAAACATATTGTTCATTTTTTTTGTTTAAAATTGTTTGAAGTTATTTAAACAACTAAATCACTATGACAAAGGATTAAGAGCACATTTGGATTCAGTAACTCAAGTAAAATGCAAAATTTCATTAAGTTTATATAATTAATGAAAGAATGTGCTACTTTTCTAGAGACAAATTTTAGTTGATAAGTAATCTTATTGTGTGTTTTACTACATCATACATCCATATAGGATGTGCAATGTTGATAATTTAGAAACAACACATGAAAGAGATTAAATGTTCCCTTTCCTGTTCTATTTTGTCTTTCAGTTTTGAACAAAGGTATTTTTCACACTATGCCGGTGCCTTATTTTCTTGTCTTATTCAGTAACAATATTTAATTATCTAACTTATCTAACTCTTTATTTGTATTTGGTTTAAGACCTGTAGCAGAATACCAGAATACCTGGATTAGTTATTTTGAATTAGTATACAGATTTCAGACTTCTTTCTCTATCCTGTATCTGTTGAAATATTTTCTTGGGTCTTCTTTTCAATTTTTAATCTCATTTNAACTAATAGGCATAGTCCATAATTTAATTTTCTTAAAAGACTTTGTCTTTGCAGAATAACGTGATTCACAAACATAGACATCTTCATCTCTGAAGTTTTCTGGACATAGCTTAAAATATTCCTGCAAGATAGAAAGAAATGAAAATTAGGGCAATACACATAATGGCAATAGCACTTATACCGCTTCAGAGTGCTTTACAGCCCTCTCTAAGCAGTTAGCATATTATCCCAAACAATCTGGGCCCACCTCGGAAGGATGGAAGGATGAGTCAACAGACATGTAGACAGCAGAAAACGACCAGTGTTTTATCGAAACACTATCAAATAGAGTAATGGTCTGCTTTTTGCAATTCAGGCCTCTCAAGGTGATAGCAGTGTTGAGTTCCAACAAATGAGAAAGGATTCCAACCCCACACTCCCTGATTCTATCCTGTCCTATCCCTGAGCCTTGGTCTTCCCTTGAAGTATGTTTAATCTAGTACTACAGTATTAGAAGCCACTTCAAACCTACATGTTTTAGTTATTTAGAGGGATAAGGTTACATTCTGGAACTTGAGCTAGCATCCATTATCCTCTCTCTCTTCCTTCAAATAAACTATTTCCTCCCTAATCACTTGTGTCTTAACTTCTATAAATTAGACACTATTTACAGTTTACTTTCTATAGAGAGAGATACTATGACTCTCCAGATATTGCTAAATAACCCCAGCACTGTCATGCTAGAAGGAATTGTAGGTAACAATGACAGGGTCAGTTTTCCTATTTGTTCCCATTCCCAAATGTAAGAGGCAAGCAGAAAATCAGTATTAATATAAGAGTAAGATTCTTCTCACCTTAACAAACATAACCACACATTTGCCTAGAATTTTGCTCACTGTAACTTTGTTGTAATAATCGCTTTTAAACACCTCCTTCTCCAAAAATTTTCTGGTGGCAAGATGGAATGTTTCATTTGGTCGATAAAACCAGCAACCGTATAACCATTTTTCCCCTAAAAACAAGAGAAAGTTTAGCACGCACAGACAATAAAGTTATAGTAGAAAACTATCATAATAATTTTAAGGTCACTTTATATTAGACAATTATAGTGTTCTTCTGGTAGCTGTCTGAAGCTTTGCATAGAAGATATCTAGCCAATGAAATATATTGTTTTATGTCTGTTATCTTCAGAATTAATACACTCAAAGTATTTTGATGAATTTGAAAAAAAGTAGACAACTTTTGAGGCCTGCACCCACCTTAAAAGAAATACTTGACTACATTTAATTTTATGAATGAATGAATGAATGATGTTTCCTGTGAAGGAACTCAAGTTAAAAAAAAGAGGTTATTGTTTATCAGTGATGCTAAAGAGAACGGCAACAGGAAACTATATCAATCATTCAGAATTTGACAATAACAATCTCCTCTTCATGCCAAAAGGGGAATATGAAATGAAATCAGGTGGAGTTGTCTCTCTGAACCACTCCAAAGGAATAAAAAATGAAGGATCCGCTGATGCCTAGACAATGGTTTTTTGTTCTGAAATATTTCAAAATCCATCAATCTACTATGTTAACCTCATGACAGAGTCTTAACAATCATACAGGGAACTTTATTATTTGAATAGTGCCAGATATTCAAATTATAAAATTACTGATGGGATCTGCTGTCCTCGGTTCTGTATGATTAAATTTTAGTTATCTTTCGGAAATCAAAGTATATATACAGTACTTGCTTGGGTTTTTTTAAAAAAATCTTTAAAAGTTTTACGAAAACTAACACTCCTTACCATTTGAATCTTCCCACAATCGTTCTATGCAGACTATATGAGGTTGTAAATTAGCTTCTGCCGGTTCAACATATACATAATCTCCAACATGGTACATGCTGTTCTTAAAGCTGCAATCTTGGCTGTATGTTCTGTGTAAATTAGATAGTCCTGATCCTCCAGAAGTATCTTCACTCTTTTCAGCTTCTTATGCAACATACAACAAAGCATGGGAAATTATTTCTACTCAGTTTAAGGGATTACAGAACTCTTTACTTTGTAATATTTTATGTGTTGCCTTTCGGGGTGCTGAATAGTCTTTTTTCTTGAAAAGCTTTATTCAACAAATTTCTTTTTATTTGTTTAGTATATTTATATCCTACTTTATCTCCACAAACTCAAGGTAATATACATGGTGTGTGTGTGTGTGTGTGTGTGTGTGTTTGTGTGTGTTCTCATTTTATCCAAAGAGCTTTTTGAAGTAGATTGGACTAATCTACTAGATTGACTGCTATCTACAGTTCAGCAGTTCAAATCTCACCGGCTCAGGGTCAGGGTTGACTCAGCCTTCCATCCTTCCGAGGTGGGTAAAATGAGGACCCGGATTGCTG